AGTGATTTTAACAGATATGAACTATCAAAATTTGAGCAGTGAGTTAATTTTTATAAGTGAATGCTCAGTAAAATTCATAGAAATAAGATTTACTGCAGTCTGTAGATTGAATGTTTTAAACAACTGTTTTCATTTCAGAAGTTCCATAAATAAACTAAATTACAATTGTCTGAAAATTCAAAAACAGATGTTAATAATTTTAAACACAGCACTGAAAGTTAAGAACTAAGATAGACAGAGCAAGCGATACATTTAAATTAGAACATTGACTGCACAATTTCTCAGAACAGGCTTCCATTGATCATCTTTAAAATAAAGTTAACAGAATATCTAAATTACTGTGTTATTGTATGTCATGCATCAACAACTACTTTTCACTACGCAAAATAAGAACTTGAAGACAATCCTTTCCCTGAGGAGACTTTAATGAAGATGCTGAATATTCTCATGCTACACAGACTCACAGGGGGAACTAGATCACGCCAGCAGAAGGAGAAAGCATTTCTGTTTAACTGAAAGAATGCATATGTCAAAATGCATATCTACCTCCAGAGAATAGACTTCAGTTAGGAGTTATAACCACAAGGAGACAATAGTATGAATTTAAAGTTAACTTGACCAGTCTGAATTCCAGCAGGATTTTCATTGGCAGCATGAGCGCGTGCCTCAGTTCCACATCCATCCTCAGCCTGGCTGGCTCGTCAGGCTAGGACAGCTGAGGCAATCCCTAGCTCAGAGATCATGCAGGAGGGATGTGACCCGGCCTGTCTCTGCCTACCTTTGCTTCAAGCAGCCTGTGAGACCCTCTGTGTGCTTACATATGGCCTTCCACTCCTGCACCTTGTACGCCTTGGGCCTGCCAACCTCTGACACTTTACCTGAAGAAAAAATTACATGGCATTCAAAGGATATTTAATGAAATATTCTTAAACCTATGGTGAGGTAAAATTTGCAACATGAATGAATTTACTGCCTGCCCCTCCTAATTACTGCCCAATAACTATCTCTGAGCTAAAGACTTTGGTTTTTGTCTCCTATTGTACTACATTCAACCCTAACATGGGTTTAATATTTTCCCTTAGATGCAGGATGATTCTTGTAAGTTGTTCCATTTCAGTACAAAATAAACTATTTTTATGGCATTCTTCAGAACTGCCTTGAAGGGTAGAATCTGCAAAAGCCTATTTTGTGCTGCAGTACAAACAGAAACTTCCCAGAGATCACATCCACACCTTCTCTGTCAATACTTCAGTTTTCAACAGTATCACCATCCATGATGATAATAAAATGCACAGGGTTCTTTGCAGACTATAAAATACTCCATAAGAGAAGATATAGCCCACAGACCTCTCACTCTATTTGGTTCTGGTTTCTGTCTACCTGACATTCTGTATTTGCACACACTCTCTTTAATATATTGTTTAAATATACAGTAAGGTTGCTGCTTTTGTAACTGTATAAATGTATGACACTATAGTAGATAATCTCAGCCCAGTCCATTATTTAGTTGCATATGCTGCATTAGCATAGGTTTTCCATCTTCCTTTTTATAGTGTTCTTATGATTCATTAAAGAAAGTACAAAAGAAATGTCTGTTTTTGAAGGCGACATTTTAAGCAGTGTTTGGAGACTTTGATAGACTATGTAGTTCATTCAAAACAGTAAAATTTTATGCAGAAGATACTTTTATTTCTAATGCTCCGGTTAGTTTTTAAGGGTTTTGGCTTTCTTCCCTTTTCAGGAAGTATTCTTTCCAAAATCATCCTTTATTAGAGCAGTAACTCTTTAAAAAGTATAGACAGACAAAGAAGCAAGCAAAGTTTCTATTTTAAAATCTTCCAAGGAATAAATGAAAGGCAAATCAGCATCTATCATCATGCCTATATCTGCATTCATTCCTTACAAATACTTTTATTGATCTCTGTGTCATTTCTCCTGAAAGAACTACTTACAGGAGTTGGGAACCCTCTTATGTAACACGCCATACCACAGAAAACATGTAGGGGAGAGCTGCATCATTATGTAACATGCAGTCTATGAATCACGACTTCCTTACAATGGTCAATGCTTAGCAGCAGTTTGTTTTAGTCTCCACTGTAGTATCTCTCTGCTGGTTACTAAATATTCTGGAACAGTTCATATTGACTCCAGGGACAGCTGTTGAGGAGAAAATTCCTTATTTCAAGCCAAATATGGAGTTCATGGCTTAGCTCAGGAATTGGATGGTGCCCAAGAATTTCTTAGGGTTTTTTTCCCCCTGTTTGCTCTGAATTGTCCACCATCCCCCCCTACCTCCTCCTCCCCTCCAAAAACCCCTCTGCAATAATAAAATTTAAAGCATATCCGGAGCACTTATTGTATACTGAAATCTACTTAAAGGAACAGTGTAAGGATATCTTAGGCTTCCATTTTGGATTCAATAAAAACTTTTTAAAACTAAAGTTAAAGTTAATACAAGATGTAATGGGATTCTTAGACTGTTTCACTGAAAGCAGCAGTTAATGTTTTGAGAGGCCCTCAGTGTTGCAGCATTTCAAAGAAGTATCTCATTCTAAAAGGCTAAAATATACAACTGAATAGATTAAGTATAGTACACTATCCTACTTTATTACCTAAATAGAGAAAAGCAATAAACAACAACAACAAGAAGAAAATATTTTTGGAATCTTCTCTTTTTCTTCTCTTTATATTAATACAAATGGGCAATAAATATTTCCCTATAAAGAAAATATATGCTTTTTCCTAACAGTTAAGAATACACTAGTATATCTTCCATAGTCCACTAGCCAAAAGTCTATCTGCCTTTCCTATGACTAATCATAACAAATAAGTCAAGAGTATCAAAACATAAGAGATACTGACAAAATCCTCATCTGAACAAGAAAAGGAAATATGTTTACAAAACAACTCCTATTTGTTACAAGAAATATCTCAATTTGAACTTGCTGCATAAAGCCTGCGTTATGTGTTTGATATCCATCTATTTTTAGCTCACTCTTAAAACATAATGCATCAAGTTGCAAGTGTTACAAGACATTTAGAAAACGCTGCTTGTGAAGACAAGGGTATTCTCTTCACAGGTAACACCTGTAAACACCTTCTGCAAATGACATTTCATATGTTACAAGTCTTTTGTGAATGATACTTTATATCAGTTCTAGTGCAGGAGGGACTTGCTAGCAGGAAAAAAAAGATTTTCAATAAAATGAGGTAACGCCAAGAATCAAAGCAAATCTGTAACTGATAACCTCCAAGGCATGGGTGACTCAAAGCAAATAAAGCTTAATCCTAGTGATATGTAAAATATTTTAAAGATTTGCAATTGGAAATACCTGAACAGTTATGAGTTTTAAAAAATGCTTCTTGGGTTTTATTGAGAATTCTTGGTGGAGCAGTGTACCTGTCTGATGTGGATCCAGCAATAACAGCTGTCTTGCGCTCCCTTGTCACAGTCCAGGGAGCCTCCTGAAGCAAGGGGTGTGCAGGAGGCCTGGGGCACTTCACAGTCATGTGCTGTAGCTTCAGAAACTGCCTCTGGCACCTCTTGCAACTATCCAAGCTGGCATGAATGCTCTGTTCCTTTGACAGGAAATGAACATTGATCCTTTAGGCAACTAGCAGTGATAAACAAACCTCCTGCTGGGTTCTCCACACAGCCAGGTCTCAAAGCAGAGTGATTGCAGAGCTAGGCCCAAGTGCAAGGCACTCATGAACAACATATGGATATGCATATCTATGAGCAGCTTTCTCCGCTGTACGACACACTGAGTTACCTCAAGCAAATGTCTTCTTCTTAGATCTCCAGGAAGGATCTTCTCAGCTCACCCTTTGATGCATTTACACTTAAAGGCACCCGTCAAACTAGGAAATACTTCTCGGGGTTTGTTTCACACAGAGTTGTTTTTACAGGCACTTTTCTCAGCAGCAGTTTGGGGTATCTCCAGACACAGCCAGCCGAAGCACCAAATGCAACCACAAAACTGCACTCACCCAAGGAGAGGAATCAGTTCTGTCACCTGGACCAAAATTATTCCATATCCCTGCTTCCACATTTTTGCTGTTAAATAGTCAAGATTAATCGGAAATAGAAAAAATAAAAAGTGTAACATGGAAAAAGTCATGCAAGTTTATGGTCTAAAGAACTCTCAAGAAATGCTTTTTAACTCTGTGAGAAGGCAGGTCCATCCTCAGAGCTTACAGCCTCTACTTTCAGAGCAGAAGATAAACATTTTGTTTGCCCACATTGTCTGTCGATCCAGTTTTAAAGCATCTGTAAGAGTATATCCTGAGCAATCCAGTGCTCTCACTGAGTCACAAGTTTTAAGCATCTTGAGAGAATTCCCAGTGAACTGGAATCCAAGGGGAATAAGGCATCATGCAGCCCAGGCTCAAGGTCCTCATAAGAAGATAGAAGATCCTCACAAGAAGATAGGTGTTCACCTCCTTCAATTTTTATATATATAAAAATACAGTCTGTTATGATGTTAGGGAAGAGGATGCTACTTTGAATGCACCCCTGCCTTCACATTTTCCTGGTGACCTTGGCTATGCCACGAAACTGAGAGATAATCCTTGTTGGAAGGAAGTGGGGACTTTGGAAGAAAGTAACATGTTACTTAAAGAGTTATTTTTTGGTATGCAGTGCTACAATGCTAGTAGACTTGATTTTTTATGCCTAACACGCTCTCAGTTTTGTAAAACGAGGAGCCAAAAGACAGGAAACATATAGCCGAGGCTGATACATTCCACATATCAGACAGTTCCCTCTTCAGATCAAGTCCAAGTTCCTAGTTCCTTTTCTGGTTTGCACTTCAAATGCTGACATGGTGAAACTTTATTTTTTCTGTGGAAAGTTGCAGTGCTCCTGTTTCGCAGCATACTTTTCATTACACCTACAGGTTATCACCTATTAGTGCTTTGGCTTGTATAAGCATAAGGCCATAACAAAAAGGTCACAGCTTGCACATGAGAGAAAAAGAAAACATGCAAGTGTTACTGCAGTTTTTCTAAAGTGGAATCCTGGAAAAATTCATGTAAACTGTGCATAGCTGTAATGTGAAAGAGGACATTTGTTTCTTCAGAAGGAATTACTATGGTGCAAGAATTGTCTTGGCAGATAAGTAGAACAGATTTGCCCAGTGTGTAAACAACTTTGTTTTTTTCTGTAAAACTTCAAGTGAATAAGTAACTTTTTGAAAAAAAAAAAAAAAAAAACTTCATCTCTGCACCTTCTATATGATGTACACACCTGTCCCTTTAAAGGAAAAGGCAGATTTTTAATTCTACCTTTTGACCTCAGTGGTTTTGTTTGGTTTACTGATCAGCAGAAGTTTCAAATGTCAAACCAAAAAGTATTGCTCATGAAAAGAAATCCGTTGGCAAAGGTAACTCCTCTACTGAGGTCACATTCTAGTGCTCAAAGTGTGGGAAAATAGATAGTTCCCCCCCGCCTCAGTTTCCCAAGAGATTAGTCATATAAACATTTTTTAATTACAGAAAAGAGTACACATGACTTTGCCTATTGCAATGCATTCGCTCGAGTGTTCATTACGCAGTTTTGCTAGATGGAATGCCTGCCCTTCGCAAATTCCGTGCTGACTGAGGCACGAGCGAAGCCTCTCCCCGTGACTGCAGCCATCCTGGCAGAAATTCCTCTGGAGCTCAAACCATGGGAGGTCTGTGCTCTTGGAGACACAGCATCCCAACCAAGTCCATGCTGCTGGGCTGCGGACGATCTGTGTGCAGCAATTCAATGGTCACATTAACAACCTACGGCTCAGAAACCCTCATACAAAACCTGTGGAGGAGGAGAGCTTAATTTACATTAAATTAAGCTTAATTTATCAATCTGGATCATTTTTGGACTGAGATTCCAGATCCAGGCTTTTTTCCGTTTTAATGGTGAGAGTATCAGGACATAGAACCAAGGGGTCTCCTTCGTTTTAACATGTGACACAAATATACCTACTGCCACAATAAGTCCTTTTGCTGCTTGCAAGAACTTAGCATAAAGAGAGTCAGGTCTTACTGACTACTTTCTTTGGATAAAAACACTTATCTACACTATTTCACCTGCATTTTTTCTCTGTACTTAATTTGTGATTTGTCAGAGGCAGGACTACTTTTTTGTTTTTAAAGAAAATTTGCCACAAAACTTTTAATTTTCAAAGTGAGAATTAAAGAAGCCATGATAATTCAATAGAGATGTCAGTAGAGAAAAATAAAAGATCTGCATTTATAGCATGAGGGGCTTATAATATACAAGCAAACAAGTTGTCAAAAGAATGAACAAAACGAGTTCATCTTTCAAAGATTTTTTCCATGGATTTTAAAATTCAGCAGGTTGGAAGTATGTAGTCCTTTCATGATTTGCAAGTAGGTCCATCATATACTTTAAAAAAAAAAAGTATCACACTGAAGAACACTAATGCATGCATTATTCATTTTGCCTGAGCTTGTTTGAAATGTCTGAGTGAAGAGGAACTCTAACAGGTACTGTTTCATTTCACCACTTACAGAGCCTGCAACCCAACTGCAGTAAAATTTATAGCATTGGGCTCTTATATGATTAATATTTTACTGTCCTAAGGATCTGCTCCTCTTACGGTGCCATTACATAGGTTTCTGCTGGACACCAATCTTTGTGAATTCACATATCATGAGTTTAAACCTGAAAATGTTTCCTTAAAATGTGTCTTTAATACTATATATCAGGTAGTGGGAGACACCCTATTCAATTGTTTAAGGGATCTTTTGAAGTCTACAGTTCTATCTGAGAAATCAAACTAAAATTAATTTGTTCATATCTGCTTTTCTGAAATTTAGAGCTAGACAAGCCCTCACCTGAAGGGACCCTAGGAAACCTAGGTAATGCATAAATATACTTCAGTGAGGTCCCCCTCAGTACTCTATCAATCAGGCATAGCAGAGGAGAGGTGGGAATATAATAGCTCACTAATTCTAGCATCTGCCTTTTGCTAATCCCCTTGGAATTCTTCCTCTGGGAGAATTCTGGCAAGTAGAAAGTGACTCCACAAAACTAGAAAAAAAAATAAACACCCACTACTTGCAAGAGCCCTTCTGTTCATAGAGGACAGAAGGTAAATACGGAAACTAGATGTGAAGCCATTGTCTACTCACAGCAGTCCTCTGCCCTCCTCCTTGAATACATAACAGGAAACCTATGGAATATGAGTCATAAAAGAAAATGATGAACTTCAAATATAGCTTCTTCTGAAAACAGATATGGACATTTGGCATATGAAAGCTTACCTTGCTGAACAGCCTGTAGTTGGAACCACCTCCTTTTCTTCTCCAGAATCTATAGAGACCATTCAAAGCATCAAGGTAACTCTATTAGAAAAAAATAATTTTGTTGAAGCAGCATACAACTACACATTAAACATGAAATTTTGATTTCTTTGTATTTTTTTTTAATTTATCATATGTATGTGATTACAAAAGCTCCATGCGTATTCTTAATTAAAATATTCAGTGCCAGAAAGCAGCTACATTTCACAAGACAAACAGCTTTGGTTCTTGTAATCTGTAACACAGTCCTTTAGGGCATCATTTACCAAATTTGACCAATATGTTTAAGTATTAAAACAAAATTAGCAAAAGTTTCTATTATACAGTGCTTGAATTGTATGTAATTAAGAGTAAACAAGCTCAGCTGTCCCTGCTGATATCTAATATGGTTTTATAATAGCCAGACAGAGGCTGGCTTTGCTGTTGGGAAATAAACACTACAAGCAGTAAGGAAAAATGCCGACCAAAAATTTTAGAGTTAGAGCTTTAACAAAGCTGAAAAGACAAAACATTTATAAAAGATGTGATCAAAAAGCAGACATGAAATACTTTGATTTACTGAAAGAGCCTTGAAAATGGATCATTATTTAATGAAAGCTTGAAGAGTTGGTAACCATCAGCCACCTGAAATCCTACCATGAAGCGACTCTTACTTGGGTTTAATACCAGACGGTATCAGCTGATGAAAGCACAAACTAGAAGGAAAAGACCATTTCAATTTTAAATAGCACATTAACCACATATTACTTCAAAAACTAAAAGGTTTTCCAGGGCACTAAATAAATCTTTAAGATTTCAATTTACCAGAGATAGGTGAACCTTACCAAACTTTATATATGTAAACTTACTAAAATATATTGCTGCAGCCTGCAAAGACAGTAACACCTAAGTGTTTATGCTTCAGGCCGATGACACACAGAAACAAAGCTGTTCATAGATTCTGCTTTTGGATTGGATCTAGACTTCAAAAATTGTTACTCTGCAAAAGCAAATGCATGTAAGTTTGAAAGATACAAGCTTTCAATTATTTTTGTTTTTGAAAGAGTTATTTTAACTGGATTTTATTTTTTTTTTTTGTTTCCTAAACAACAGGGGCGGGGTGCATTCACATTTTTTGTGAGAATGTCATAGAGCTAAGGAACAAGAACAACTCAGGACAAACGGGAAAGCCCCACTCATGCTAAAGTCATTGGAACTCTCTTCACCAAGGCCAAGATGTCAGTGTACGTCCAAATATCAGTAATTTTTAAAAGCTGACAACTGGACAAGAAACATTCAGTAGATTAGGACATCTTGACACTACTGGAAATGTATGTTATTAACACTGTAAGGACGACAATTACATTACAAAGGTCATTAATTAGGTGATGCGTAGCTAGAGAGGACATCATCAGTACCTATGCAAGATTAATTCATGCAATATGCCTTTATTCTTTGTCATTACAAAAGAATTCTTTTTTCATCTCACCAAGTTTAGTCTGGCTGTGAACCTTTCTCATTTTATTCTAAATGGTGGGCTGAGCTTCCAGATCATGAACACCTACTATTTCACAGGTTATATGTAATTTATACTATTTAAAATTGTATTTTACACATTTTGTTATAAATATGCATTGTATTATATTTAGAACTTACATATTTGCACTGTGTTTTCTATATTTACAAAAGGGGTGAAAATTTATCCAGGAAGAAAAAAGTGATGAGCCGGTCTGTTCTGGCAGAAGGTTACACACATGTGCATCGACCCAGAAAACAGACAGACTTAGCGCAGTTCTTTGCAGCTTCGTCCAGAGAGTCTTTGTCCGTTGCTTCTCTCAGACATTTGATAATGTTCTTGTCAGATACTGCCTTGGGACTGACATAACAGACAAGCTGCAGATAATGCAGGTATAATTCAACCTGCACAACCCATGATTAGAGCAAGCGTAACTACACGTATCAATCCAGAGGGCACTTAAAATATCACAAGTGTTGATGTTGCCCATACATTTCTGCAAGATGTGAAGTTATTTAGCTCTTCCTTGGTGATTGGTCACCACTTTAAGAAGAAAACACTTCCTTTTGATTTATTCTTTTTTTTTTGTCTGAATCTTTTATTCTTCAGCCTTTGATACAACTTTCCCTATGCATCCATTTTCATCTCTAAGGCAAGATTACAGATGCAGAGGATCAGGAGAACTGCAGTGAAAGCAACCACATTTCTACTGAGCCAAATTCATGCAGCAAGCCAATGCTAATGCTGAGGGAAGGGATGAAAATCAGCAGTAGCAGAAATAAGACCATCCTGATGGCTCCCATTATATGAAGAGCCAAAGCCCTAACCCCACTCGAGAAGTGTCACAGGGCTAGATAGGCAGAAGTTAGCTACAGGCATCTTCAACTGACATCACTGACACTGACGTCACTTCAAAATAACCTCTGTTTTCAGACAAACACAAAACAGAGAAGGAAAAATTGTGATGCTTATGCTCATCTAGATGCTATTTCCATATCCTCAACAGATGCTTAAAGCATTTTCTCTGTTTTCAGACTATTAACTTCTTATTTATTTATGTGGAACAAGTGACATCCAGTGGCTGGTATGGTCAATTACTATCCAGTTCTCATACATTCAGTTTTTGAGTCAGGTGCTCCAGCATGTGGAGTTTTCTCCCTTCCTTTCTCTACTCCCTGCTCATGTCAAGTATTAGTAGCAAGTCAACCAGCACTTCTGTCTGAAAAGTCCTTCAAGACGGGCTCAGAAATATCACATGTAAGAATGGCAAGGATTAGAGAGGTGGATAGCCAGGAATCTCAATTAAATGAGATCTGGATGTTCAGTTTCACAATGGCATTTGAAAACAAAGCCCTGTGTTGAAACTTGTTTTAAACCTTAAAAGAGAAAACTAAACAAACAACAACAAAAAAAAACCCTAAAACTTAGCTTTGTAAGTGTATTCCAACTAATTTACCTGCCTAGGATATATACCAAAGTGCAACACACATGTGCTTTTTGATGAGATGATAACAGCTAAATTGACTGGGAGTATTTAGGAGTTGTTTCTGGAAAGCAAACAAACAAAACCACATACACACACAGAAAATGACACTGCTAGGAACGGGAAAGGGAGCACTGGGAAAGGGAATAGAAGCAGCTAACATATTCTTCTTAGAGAATATTTTTATAAATATCTGACCTCCAAAGGCATGCTTATAATTATTCACAACATTCAAAAGCATTTCTATAAACTCAGAAATCAAGTACTTCTGCATTAACTGGTTTTGCAGAAATAATCCTACCTACAGAGTTAGAAAATCATCTCCACGTCTTTACTTTGAAAGGAAAATTGATGCAGAGCATTTCTCAGTACTAGCAGATGAACAGAATTGACACCGGAAAGAGGGAATTGGGCAGATCTCTAATCTGGACACTCTGGAATGATCCCAATAAATGGGGAGATCTCCCACAACATTCTTAAAAACAAAATATGGTCATAGTAACTTGGAATCATAAATCTTCTCTTTTTACAACTGATATCAGAACTTACTGAACACAGCACAGAAAAGTAGCTAAGATCCCATAATGGGGCAGCCACTGACCGTTTGTATTATGTTTCTTATTGCATTCTTATTGCTTTCTTATTGCATGCTTTGAGAGATCAGGCATTTATATTATACTATTTATATACATGCTTATATATATACACACTTATACTACTTATACTATTTTGTTATCAATTAGTAAGATTTAACTGCAGTCCAGTTAATAGAAAAACGTTTAAAAGTAGGTATATGTGGAACATTTTTAAAATAAATTTTAAATAAGCATTAGTCAAATGAAATACCCTAGGGTCTCAAAATAATCATCACAACCTAAAAAATAGAAGACTCAAATTCTTTTCTCTTTCTCTGTCTCTTTTTCTCTATCTTGAAACAGTCTCTATACCTCTTCACCATGCCTGCACATTAATACTACTCCATACCCACAGAAAATGTTTTAAGGCAGCAGTTTGCCTGAAACATCAAAGAACAAGTTCTGTAGGAAGAAATAACATATAGAATGTGAATTAAAGAAATAAAAATGAACATAAGGAAATATAAAGAAATAACATATAGAACATATAGAAATCCCAAACAATATAGCTGAGAGAAGAACTAGACTGAGCTTTCAGGCTGATGTACCCTTTGAGTTTGAGATTGCGGCCATTTCTGACTAGGAAAACTGGAGGCCTGAGAAACACATGTTCTTTTCTTAGCTACATCAACTGCCTAGTAAAAGATGTCACTTCTTCCTTTCATTCCTATTCTGTTAGTACAGCAACAGGCCACCAAACAAATAGCAACTGCCCATTCCCCAAGCAGCAGAGATCCTTTTCAGAAGCCTCTGCCATAGCTAAGGCCATAGGCATGTTCTGCATAGGAATTATCGCCTAGCAGAAACAGGAACATATACTAAACTAGTTCTGACATTTCTGGAACTAAGTTTCAAAAATAAATAAATAAAAGGAAAAAGAAAAGAGAAAAATCCTCTAAATGTGCAACCATTTATGTTGCATATGATTTTTATGGATATTTGAGCAAAGATGTTTGTAGGAATAAACACCCACTGACACTAGCTTTTCTCAGCTGGTATTTATGAACACAAACACGCGTGTATGCAGAGCCTTATACCCTCCATCAGAACTCAACAGCATTTATTCCTATGTTTTACTAATAAATGGAAGGAAAACTTTAGCATTAAAAAATACTGTTATTTTGTGACAACTCAGACTACACATCCTGAATACTTACCTAATGCCTGGGTGACAAAGACCCCTACTCCCCTCATAAAGAAAGTTACTTCCTTTACAGGGCAGCCATAGGGCAGGTGAGAAATCTCAGGATACTGAGCTTTCCCTGGGACACAAAGACCCAAATCACATCGCTCAATAAAAATGTTTGAGGATTGCTTTTAAGCCATCTATTTTGGCTCATACAAGACTTCTTCACACAAAAGGATGATCCAGGAAAACAATAATTGCTTACTTATTTGTAATCTATTAGAAAATATGAATTTCACATTTTTAAAGGCTATTGATTTATAAAAACCTATGTCTACATTTATTAAATTCCTCTGCTTTGTAAATAGTGAAAAAATACTAGTAATTCCTAGTTGTTAAAAATCTACACTGAAAATTGCAGATAGAGCATCAAGTGCAGATAGGATGAAGTATCTTGCTCTGTATTTTTACAACATTCTCATATATAAAGAACAAGTTTCAAAGACAAAAAAATACTGCTTTAGATGTCCTACTGCTGTTTGTCTCTGTTCCCTTTGTATTTTCTTTGTATTTGATCACAGACTAATGCCTGCAAACCATGATAATTTTTTCATGTTTCCATTCCTGTTAATCATAGCCACCTCCTCCAACAAAATGCAGGCAATTAAGAAAATATCTGAGAACAATTTTCACCCACAAAATGAACCCAATAAAAGTTATACTGCAAGTTCATCAGACTAATTCCAAAATAAGTTAGAGCTATCCTTAAGTGCAAAACAGATGTTCTTTGAATTAAACAGACAAAAGGATGACTGATGACCTGGACGAAGGGCGAAGGTGCACCCTCAGCAAGTTTGCTGATGATACAAAATTGGGAGCAGTAGCTGATGCACAACAGGCAGTGCCACCATCCAGAGGGACCTGAAGAGGCTGGAGACACGGGAAGAGAGGAACCTCATCAAGTTCAACAAGGGGACATGCGGAATTCTGCACCAAGGGAGGAATAACCCCAGGCACCAGTACACACTGAGGGTTGACCGGCTGGAGAGCAGCTCTGGAGGACGTGGGAGTTCTGGTGAGCAAGTCGACCATGAGCCAGCAATGGGTCCTGGTGGCAAAGAAAGCCAATGGTGTCCTGGAGCACACTGGGGACTGTTGCCAGCAGGTCAAGCAAGGTGAGCAAGGTGACCCTGCCTCTCTACTCAGCCCTGGTGAGGCCACTTCTGGAGCGCTGCGTCCAGTGCTGGGCTCCTCAGTACAAGAGGGATGTGGAACCACTGGGAAGGGTCAGCATAGAGCTACAAAGATGGTAAGGGGCTGGAACAACTCTTCTCATGAGGAAAGGCTGAGAGGTGCAACTCTTCAGCGTGCAGAAGACTGAGGAAGGATCTTATCGATGTGTGCAAGTACCTGAAGGAAGTGCGTAGAGAAGATGGGGACAGAATATTTACAGATGTGCCCAGTGACAGGACAAGAGGCAACAGGCACAGCCAGTAACACAGGAAGTTCCGCTTGAACACAAGGAAAAACTTTGAGGCTGATGCAGCACTGGAACGGGCTGCCGAGGAGGCTGTGGAGCCTCCTTCACCGGAGATGCGCACATATAGCTTGGACACAACCCGGGGTAACATGCTGTAGGTGATCCTGCGTGGGCAGTGGGGTTGGATCTGCCGCGGTCTTTTCCAAACTCAGCCACTCTGATTCTATAAAGGGAGTTAATATTACCTCTATTTGGAAACAGAAAATGAATTTACACTTAATGTTTTGGCATTTCCTACAAGGTATATAGGTATTCAGGTATGGTAAACTTTATGCCAAACTGATTCAAATCTGAGCTGTTTTCCTGTCTTGGCCTAATATTTTATGAGGTAAGTCTGCATGCTTTCTTTGAGTAAAAGAGCACTGATTTTGGGAACAATTCTAACACAACACCTTCTCAAAGACAATTTTATACATATTAGAACTTACTTCTGAATTAAACTAGTAGGCTAGACTACATATGCAACTATCTCCAGCCAGAAGCAGTCTCATTCACGTCAGAACCTGATACAGGTTTATGGAAAACTAAATGGTAGACTACAGCCTAAAAAAACCCCCACAAAACCAGCATGAAAAATGTTTTCATGAGATGAGAGACTACATGTGTTCAGTTCCTGGACTATTTTTTTTAATCAAATGAGAATTTTAAAAGCAATTATTTAGAGAATGTATACACAGAAAGAACATACTGTTAAGTTTAATTTTTAAATAAAATAAATAGTAATTGCTGACTGTATGCCAATGTATATTTTCTCAGAAAGATGAGTATCACACTTATTAAAATACTTAGATGCAGTTGTTCAGGCCAAAGCCACAAAGTGGGTCCCTGGACAAAATGAAAGAGAATCAATTGCTGTAACAATTAAACTCACCCCTATTAATTTTCTCATTTCTCATGTCATAAATAAAGGGTACAAAACTTCAATGCCACTGTCTCAGTCAGAGAGGTATACTACAATTCAGAGACCAACTCAGTACATCTGCAGTGTAAAGTTTTTGTCCCCTCCCCCCCTTTTTTTTTAAACTCCAACATTACATTATTTGTTATACTGAGCTGTTTGAACTGTATTTTTGTTTTCACTGGCACCTCAGCTTCATCACAGCATTATTCTGCTCAACCTTTTAATAAAATCCATTTTAAAAAATTCTGCTTTTATCTGAGAAAATGCAAGAGGGGTCTAATAGGAGAACTCAAGGCAATAAATTTGAGTCCATTTCCAAATTAAAACCCAAGTTTCACATTCGTATCAACTCCATGCATTGTATGCTCACTTTACTCAGATCTTTAACAAGTACAGAGAATTTGCAGCTACCTTAGAGAGCCGATCAGCAGTTTTATGTTAGAAACAAATTAGAAACTAGAAAAAGCAGTAGAGCAATATTTTAGAAACTACTGTAATGGTCAGCCTATAACAGAAAAAGGTTGAAAAGTATAATTGCTACTAGTTGCACAGGGACCAAAACTAATCTATAGATCAACCCAGATCATTTCAACCTTTTATAGTTAAATAAGGGATAATGATCTCTGAGGAACCACTATATCCAGCATGTCTTCTAAAAGCATTGAAACAGAAAGATGGGAAGCTACTTCTCTTTTGGTAGCACAGGACAATAAGGTGGGGCTACTGTATGGTTTTCTGTAAGATCAAATCCATAAAAAAAACATATAGGTTACTGCCTTGAGTCCCACAGAAATTAGCAAAACCTAAGGTTCAAATGAAATTGCTATCTACTCTTGCTCCACTACTTGAAAAAAAAATTTCTAACGTCTGCAGACGAGATTCAGCAGCTGCCTGAGTAACTTTAACAAAGCTTGTTCACAGTTCTAGTGGACCAGGTATACCCAGTGGTCAGTAATATCTTTGAGTGAAAAAAACAGCTTCAGTGACATCAGGAAAGTATCTTCTACAGGTGCACAAACCCTCTCTGCAAAATGAAACTGAGCTTAAATATGAAGTTATAGATCCTTCAGAAGAATGAAGTGTTAGAAATGAGGCCTAAGAGGCAATACATAAACTACCCAGTAACTGTCATTGAGCACTTGGAGGTACCAGGGTACAAAGTAGAGCTATAATGTTTGCTCTCTCACAGCTCAAAATACTGGAGGACAAACATTCTGGTGTTGTAGGACTATTCCCTAATACAAGTCTTTGAAAATGAAGCAAGAACAGGATAAAAGAGATCCAACTGAATTCAATACTACACATCACCTTTTCCTTAGGAAGAGGAGGAAATTCTGAAGGAATGCTGAGAACAGTAGCAAAAAAGAGAAATTTCTAAACAAAGTTCCAAAACTTCACAGTATGAAAATTACAGCAATACTTAGTATATTAAACTATTTAGACTAAACTCATCTGGTTTTAAAACTCAGATACAAGAAACACTTCACATACACATATAACACTTCGCTAACCCAGTCTTGATTAGATACCTCTGGGGACATAATGTTGACAGAAAAAAGGATTGTTGATGTGTTCATAAATTAAGAGCCCATTTCCTGTGTTGTGTCCACACATTAACAAATATGCCATAAACCACATGAAAAATATAAGTTCATTGTACCATAGTCTATGACAATGAGCTTCTGAGAATGCAAAAATCAGAGAACCAAATGATTCTTCCTATCCACATCTGTAATATTTTACTAAGGAGTGGGTAACTAGTTATTATTGCATGAGACATTTAACAGCTGCTTGAGCTCTTTATGTTCACTAGCTGTTAGTTCCCATTCTGCCAGGGATTTTTTAAATTATGGGCTATACTGACCATATAACACACTGATTCAATTTCATGCTGTGCTAAAGTTCAACCACAATCTTCTTTTGGAAGACACTTCTTACAGTGTGTGAAGCACCCTCAGCCCTTTTGTCCTTCAGTTCTTTTAATAGAGAGAGGTTTGGGTAACAATCAATTTTCAGGGTTTTGTCAGCAAAGGAGGAACAGGTCAACACACATACAAGGCCTTTTTCTGCCTGATCGGATTGCAAAACATCAGAGATTCATCCAATTCATGAAAATGTGCAGCCATCCAACACACTTAACAGAAGTGCACCACATATAATTTTATTTTCAAAGCCTATATCCAGAAAAGTCTGATCTTTGCCACAATGCTATTTTACTTCTCCATATGAAATTTGTGAAAGATTATCTTTTCTAACCTTCTAATCCTTGGAACTGTTTTGAGGAAGGGGGTTGAACCCCATTATCTCTAGAGTCCTTCCAACCTAAGTTGGTCTGCGATCACTTTAGTAGTGCAACACTTTCTATTAAAACAAAGATCCAAGGCACCTCGAGGACACAGCCATGCACAGAAGACTGTAAAAGTTCTACCAGCTGAACAGAGTTGAACACCCTCCTTCCTCCCCACTTATTCTTGCTGCACAGCTCTGCCATGATCACAGCGTATTTTCTTCATCTTGAGGCAGGATCAGAAAGAAAAATAAGTATAGCAGTAAAAATTCCTTTTAGTTATATCTTGCAGTCACAAGATCAAAACACAACCCCCCAAAACCCCGGGCTACTCATCTACCCAGGGAAAAAAAAAAAAAAAACAGGAAAGAAAAGAGACTAATCGATACAGAAAAAGTAACCAATCTTTTATTAGCACTTCAGCGATCACCCGGCGTTCCACTGTATAGCACAGTTTTGAAGATAACACTGGTACCTCTGATTCATTACACAGCTTTATGCTTTGTTTCAAAAAAAGAAAGGAAAATAGATCCTCTCCCACACCTTTTTAAGGAAGAATAGTTGTCTTAAGTTGATTACATATAAGCAGAGATACATTGCATACTGCAGTTAGATACTTAAGAGTTTGGCAGAACAAAAGTGTTCCAGGATACTAAATCCCTTCAGATGTGGGTTTTCTTTTTTTTTTTTTTTTTTTGCTTGACTAGGAGAAGAGGGAGAAATGGATTATTTTCTAGTCCATTCCCCTCCGATTTTTGGCAGATCTAAAAGAAAGTAGAATAAAATGAAATCAGGAGGCCACAACACTCAAACATAGCTGCCACAATGTTTTAAATTAAAATTTAATTACAAGTATTTTCATGCAGTGTACAACATACAATTGCTTATGTGCTTATTCTTATTTTCCAATTATAGATTTCTGAAGTGTAACTTTTTTTCCATACATTGTTACATTTAACACATTATCTGTTTAAAGTCTTGGCTTTAAGCAGTCTTCAAATAAAAACAGAGGTAGCTAAGTGGAAAACGTTTCTCACATGTTATATTTTTAAAAGATCTCAATAAATTCTGTAAAAAAAAAAATATCAAAATCATAGAATCATCATAGAATGCTTAAGGTTGGAAGGGACCAACCCCCCTGCACACGCAGGGTAGCAAAATGATTTTCTTTCAAGACTTACTTCATAGTAGTTTGTCTTCCCCAGATATTAATGCTTTCTAACACAAGAATAGCTATTTGTATTTAGCCTTTGTCACCATGGACAGTTGCTACATCATTATGCAAACATGATAAATTCATTTAATTAGGCAAATATTTGAGTTCCACTCAAGCACACTTAGCACAGTAAAAACAAAACAGCAGTCCATGTCATAATTTGATTTACTTCTTCGCTGTACTGATTATGGGAATTTAAACAGCACTTTTAATTAGATTAGAAAGAAGTCAAATAATCAGAACACTGAGTTTTCAGCTTGGTGTATTTTTGTGCCATCCAAACAATAGCTTATTTATTTCAAAAAATTCTAATGAACTCCAGCATCTTAAATATGTTAAAAAGTGCCTTTTCCAGCATCATCATAATGTTGATTAAGAAAGCATCACCAAAATCTAAATTAGCAAATATAGTTAAAAGTCAAAGTGAACAAAACCAAAATACTATAGTCCAAATTCTGTGAACAGATGCAGGATGTCCGCCTGTGCAGAACTGGACTGTATTCTTCTCAGAACACTTAAAGAGGCAACAAGTGGGAAAAAAAATAGGAAATTTAGCAGCTGCTGAATATAGTTAAGCAGTACAGGTGTACATTTACTTGTCAGGATTAAAGATCACTTGGTAGGTCCCTGAAATTCCCTGTTTCATTTTACAAAATGCAAGCAGACACTGAAAAAAGTGGAACTGTTTCATAGAAAAGTAACTTCCTTCAAATATCCCCAGAAGCTATAAAAGGAAGTCTGAGTTTTATATACAGACTTAATATTTTGTTGAGACTCTCAAATCATATAAGCATGCTTACAACTTTTGCATTTTGTTGAAAGCTATTTTTGTTCATATGGGCCAAGGAACAGCTTTGATAAGCTGGAATACCATTTTAGCACAGGAATTTTTAGTGACTACTCATGACAGAACCATAAAGAGCTAGAGGGAGGAAGCCAACAGCCACTTAAAAAAGACAATGAGTATTTGCTTCCTGCTTCCAACAGCTCATTCCTAAACTTAGAAAGGACATTTTTATACTTCAGTACATTGCCTTGTGGAAAGATGTAGTTTGCAGGGATAGTGTCCCCAAGGTTTCGCAAAAGGATATGCCCCTAACTGAACTACATCTCCTACGAGTCAATGCTGTCTCCAAATGCAAACTGCAGTATGATATTACTATTTTTGTAACTCCTGATTTCCGTGACCTCTGTGACAAAAGCATAGCCACAACCGTGAGCAAGTTGAGTGTAAATTGGTATTTAGCTTTGATACGAATCCCTGACTTTGGCCTGCAAGGCGTCACAAGTCTTCTTTGCATCTCCCAGCAACATGGCAGTATTGGGTTTGTAGAAGATTGGATTGTCCACAGCTGCATAACCAACTCCCAGAGACCTCTTCATTACAATGACCTGCGTGTAAAGAGTTGGCAAAGTTATCGCAGCTCAGATGTTGACCAAAAAAAAAAAAAAAAAAAAAAAAAAACAATTGAAATCCAGGCCAGCTTCACAAATACACTTCTGTGCGATGTGCTCTCCACAGTCTGTTCAGCTGATGTGTTACATCTAGGCTTTTATGTTACTCCACAGAGTCAAACCAAAACGGGCACTGAGGATTAAAATAAAGAATGGGTTCCCCCTTTCCTCCCTCTCCCCTTTTTTAAACAATTTTAAGAACTCGATCCTAAGACAGCAACACACTTGACATAAGTGTTCATATCAATGCTTGGAGCGGTGCTCTCCAGTTCTATCCCATATTACTGTCATTAATTCATACATAGGATTTGAGAAGCACTAAAATAAGTTTCAACCAGTTTTAGCTAAAGTGTCAAATGAGTTAACAATTATACTTTCAGAAGAGAAATTGGAAAGCTGTATTGATGTTAAGCATATTTATTTCTCAAATTGCAATAAATTGATATAATAGAATAAATAAAACTGATGTGCCCTTGATGCTGTGTACTTGAATGGTTCAGGATAATGAAGCTGAACTTACAAAAAATCCCACACCCTAAAAAACTGGCTGCTCAACTCAGCCTTTCATGTATCAGATTCAAGAATGATATTTATTTTTGTATTTTTATCTCAGTGATAAAGTTGCCAGAAAAAAATCCTACGAAGTATATCTTTGTACTGAAATGTTTTAAGAGTTATAGATGTAAGCAGAATATCATTTGTTCTAATCTCTTGTGAGAAGAAATACATTAGTGGCCTTACTGACTTCAGTCACCATTAGTCTCATTAAAACAGACTGATGATTACAAAATTATGAAGTAAACTGCAGCACACTTGCACAATACACCCATTTTATTGGTCACCTTGCAAAAGAACTTTTCATGGTAACAGAAAGAATAAGGGCATCTTCTTAAGAGAAACTTTATCTATAAACTATGTTTTTAAAAGCATGTTACCTATGCACGTAATGCACCTCTGTTAAGCTCACCTGTTTGGACTTCCACACCTCAAGAACTGGCATTCCAGCTATGATTGAGTTTGGATCTTCCTGAGCTGCTGAATTAACTGTATCATTTGCACCAATTACAAGTACCAGGTCAGTTTCTGCATCAAAAGAGGAAGGAAAAAAAAAAAAAAAAAAAAAGGAGACTGAGAAAAAATTATCATCTACTTATTCAGCCCTGAGGCTGAGGTACATCCATCTGAATTAAATCTGGACCAAGCAAGGAACTCCTTGTAATAAGCACTCTACAAACTTTTATTGAGACTTTTTCCAATTATCTTATAGCCTAATTGGCAAAGTACTTGTAAGAGAAGCCAAGGATGCTACAGTAGAAGCTTCAGCCAACTCCAAGCATCTAGGACCTATTCTAAGGGCTTATTTGATCACATAAAGCTAAACCCTTTAACATTTTAAAATACAATTTTATATACACATAGTAACAGCACTTTCCAATTATTTGGGCCTGGCTCTTCCCTTTAAATATCTTTAACAAAGCTTTTGACAGCAGCTTTCTGATTTTTATAGAATGGAGGCGAGGGGGGGGCGGGGATCTTCTACCTAAAGTTACACTCTCAAAACATTCACAAAATGGACAGCACCTGACATTAAAAAAAAAAAAAAAAAAAAAAAAAAAAAAAAGTAATTTTCTTGTATGGAGCACTAAGACAAAACAGAGATGGCATTTCACATTTATTTATCAGCTACCAGAAACCAAAAGCTATTCTTTTCACTCTGGAGGAAACATACTGCCTGGCTCTTTTTCATTCATCTCCCTTCAATACTCCTGCATTTAATACTTCCCTTTCACTTGAACTGTCTGTACTTTCTCTCCGCTTTTGTTTTCTGTCTTTGAGTCAGGCTATTCCTTTTATTTCACCTTGCTCTCAGCTATCATTTGAGAGATCACTCGGACCTCTCCAGTTCAGGTCACCCATCCGCACCCACGTGCTCCACTGGCACCACAACGGGCACAAAGCAAAACTGCCCGGCCTGACGGAGATTCCTGTTTTGACAGTCCTTGTATCGCGTAAATAAGAACCAAATAAAAATTTACAAGAACAAACCCAGTCTTCCAGAAACTTAAAGCCCACATGCTAACCTGGGAAGTCCTCATTGATCTCATCCATTTCCAGAACGATATCATAGGGGACACCAGCTTCTGCCAGGAGTACATTCAGTTGGCCAGGCATACGACCAGCCACGGGGTGAATACCAAACCTAACAGGAAAGAAAGGGCAGCCTTGTTAACCACTTTGTTTTAGGCAGTAAACAAATGGCCCTCTGCAGCCCACAAGGTTGCAAAGCTTTGAAAGCTCGTGCACATGTAAGATTTAATCCTTATTTTACTTTAAATCATACAAATAATATTGTGAGTACTTTTCCAATGCTGTAGGGAACTGAATGGGAAGGAATGGAAACAAAGTCGATGGATTCTTCACCTGGGCAGCAGCTGTTCCTTTCCTGGAAAGTTAAAGAGCGACTGACAACAGATATGCAAAAGAATACGCTCAGTTGCTAGTGAAGCTAAACATGTTAAGAGAACATTTTAAATACTTCCAGCATAAGACAATGGTTAGTAAGTCGCTGCACCTGCAAGGAAAGTGGCTTTAGAGTCTGCTGTAATAAAAACGCCAGAGACATTTCTAGTGACAACACAGGAGGAGTTAATGGCCAGAAGTGCCAGGCAACACGCTGTTCTATCCCACAGCAGCTCAAGTTTTTCCACCCACATACAAGCAGACTTAGCAAGTTAATCTCAGTTACTCTCAAAAGCAACAAGGCTCCAACCACCAGACAGGGCATGTCACACAGGAAGCATCTGTGTCCATCTTTCAAGTAGTACCGTATTTAAAAACATGACTAGCACTGCTGATTCTTTATGATTAAGCCTGCTTGCCATGAAACCATGTCTCACATCACGCTTTGCGGGTCCTCTTGCAACCCTGACAACCTGCAGCACCGCAGAGTAAACGAACGGGCCACAGTCAAACACTTTCCCATGGAATGGT